CAGGTGCCTGCCAAATTACTTCTCTGTCGACGCTGTCAAACGCCTTTTCAAAGTCGATGAAGTTGAGGTAGAGAGTTGACTGCCATTCTGTACTCTGTTCTATGATGATGATGCGTGGCGAAGTGTTGCGATTTGGTCTGCACATGATTTGTACTTCCTGAATCCAGCCAGCCTGTTCCTGTCGTAATTTTGAATCCAGTGCATCCTTTAGTCTCTCCAGGATGATGTGGCTCAATATTTTGTTCGGAGTGGACAGGAGCATGATTCCGCACCAGTTCTTGTAAAGACTTAGGTTGCACTTGATTGGGAGTTTGACAAGGTGACCCTTCTTCCAATCAATGGGCAGGTGCCTACCCTTCCTTTCCTTCCTCCAGACCATCTGCAATAGTGGTGTGAGTATGTTCACCGCTGATGTCTTTGCGTCTGTATTCAGTGCTTCTGGAGGAACTCCATTTGGTCCTGCTGATTTCCTGCATTTCGGTAGATTTATGGCTTTCCGGACTTCGACTTTTGTTGGAGGATTTGTGTTCGCTTGTAGTTCTGCGGCCGAAGGCGGTACTTCTAGAAAAGTTGAAGGTGGTGGTCAGTTAAAGAGTTTTTTGAAGTGGTCAGTTCATTTCTCCCTTTGTTTCTCATATTTGATTATTAAGTTTCCTTCATCATCTTTTATTGGTTTCGTCTGTGTTGATCTATTCATTCCCAGATAACAGTGACCTGGTTATTTGATACAATGTTGTCAGGTCTCTCTTGCTCCTACCAGCAGGCTGTTCTGTTTCACTTGCCAGTGTGTCATTGGAGTGTCTTTTGTCTTTCCGTGCACTCTTCTTCACTTCTTTGTCCAGCGTAGTGTTTTATACATTGTACTCAGTTCCTCTTCTCATCGTTCATCCTTGCACTGGTTTATCTTCTGCTTCACCATCCTCCTCTCCCTGCTCTATCAGCTTCCATGTGTCCGTCGAGATTCATTCCTGGTCCTGTCTTCTTTCTTCTTCCTTCCTAATACGGCTATGCAGGTTTCCTTCCACGTCTCTCTAGAAGAGTTCCAGTGTTCTTCCCCACAGGTTCCTTCAGGGATGTTGCTCAATGTCCCCCATTTTGTCCTGATGACTGGCTGACGTGAAGATTTCCCTTGTAGTTTCGTCCTTTAGTTCAGTTTCTGTTCTGGGTGTTGGACCTGAACTGTGGTCTACCACCAATCTCCTTGAAGGCTTTCAACTTGATTTTGAAGGTAGGTTCCTTGCACTAGACAGTGAGTGGTGTGAACCTACACCTGCTCACCTTCTTCATCTTGTGTCCAGTAGGCTACGTCTTTGCTTTCTTGAGATTGAAATGAAGTCGATCTGATTTTTAGTGTAGTGTATTCATGTGATGAAATTAAATCCATGTCGCTTTGTGGATATCCTTATGTTTGTACACACTGCTTCCAACCACCAAATCGTTGAATGTGCAGAAGTCTGCGAACAGTTCTCCATTTTCGTTCATTTCAGCGAGTGCTTCTTGACCCATAATTGGTTCTCTTCCTGTGTTGTCCGCTCCCAGTTTAGGATTCATGTCACCTCACCCCCTACCCATTAGAATTTTGATGTCGCCAACTGGGGTGAGGGTCCTGTCCAGTACTGATTGCAGTTGTCTGTAGACTTCCTCCTTCTTCTCCTCATCTGCATTATTTGTAGGTGCATAGCGTAGCATTGTATGATTGTGACTTTCCTTCCTTTTGAGTTGAACCTTGCTGTCATGATCCTGCGGGAGGAGATTGGTTCCCACTGCATGAGAGCCTTCGACACTCTTGGGGAAATCACGATAGCCACTCCATAACTCAGTGTTCTCGTGGTTGTCGTCGGGATGACAATACCGGAGATTACCGGCTCTCCAGTTAACAGTTTGGAGAATCTACTTCCGTTCTATCTGCAGATTCCAAGCACTTCGTTGCTATAGCTTCTCACCTCTGGCAATCTCGGCAACCTTGCTAGGTTCAAACATTGTTCGGACATTAAATGTCTTCATGTTTACTTTTGCTTTCATCGAGAGAAGCATAATTTCAGTAGTAAAAGAAACAAATGTATTTCGATGACCGTGTTTTATAGATTACTGATCTTGGTTGGGTCTGTAATTGGAATTACAGACCCAACCACAGTAGGCTGAACTCATATGCTCCATTAATCTAACTGAGCCTGCTCGGGTAGTTTTTCCTCCGTATTTAACCTCACAGTCATCATCAGATTAGTTTGCTTCATTTAGGTCTATAGGACTTTTGAGCTGACAAAGTTAATCTCTGAGTGAGTCTATAGGTTCGAATGGCAACTTAGTTCAAGCCCTGTTGAGAATTCTTCATGAAGTTCCTGACTTTCCTTCCTCAGAGTGTAAAACAATATAAACCTTGTACTCCTTATTACTTGTGTAGCCGTTACCAACCATATTGCTTTTACTACTTTGTTTCTAATGGGTTCTTATAAATTTCTTGATAAACTCTAGAGGATAATTATTAACGAGTGAGTTTCCTAGCTTTATTATTTAAACATTTGACCAACCGCACTTTAACTGATGTTAGGTCAAATGCCCTGAGGTTTGGATACGTGTTACAGAATGTTGACTTACGATAGATGATAGTGTCTAAGCTATCAACTGTCCTTCGTCTTACTTTGCAATCCAACATAGATAACTCTTCTTGTTCATTTTCTAACTGGGAATTGAGTTTGATTGCACCTACTATGTAGGAAGTAATTATCGAGATATTTTTCTACACAACCAATGATTCGATTGTGCATAAAAGATAAACTAACAGTGTTGGCTTCCCTAATGTGGATCTATCAATTCACCTGCTGTTGTGTAACAAGGTAAGTCGGCTGCAGTGGTTTTATTTTTAAATGTATCGTCGAACATATATCGCCTTGCTTTTAAAAGGAAGAAAGATTTCGCAGTCCAAACTTAGGACATTTGATTGATTCAGAACACCAGCTAAACCTACAGTATAAGTTCAGTATTATCTACGGAGTACGTGGGAATCTGACAAAAGCTATGGGAATAAAACTTCTTCAGAATTCGAAGTGGTTCATATTTTAAAGCTTAAACTCTTCATACGAAAGAAGTTTGTTCAGTGAATAAACTTATAATGAACTTGGTCTGAGTAAAAATTTTACTTTTAGAAAACCTTTTCTTTTGTGTTCTTACTATCCTACTATGTCTTTTCTCCCTAAAACATGTCTCGCCACCTCACCAGCCTGATTTTTAGTTGAACTACACTTCTTTTGACTATTATATCATGCAATTTAGTTACTTTATCTTGGTTTAGCTTTTGAAAAATTTTCACTCCGACATTACTTAACTACTTCTTTGAATCTCCAGATCTTTATTGAAATAACCGAATTTTGTTAAATAACGCAATGTAGAAGGCAAGTGATATTTCTTTAAAATCACACTGGCATAGACATAATCACACTTTGTTTTCTTTCAAAGTTCATCTTTATTGTTAATCGCCATACTGTGAATGCTGCAAAACTTTTCCGTGCTGTTGTAAGGTGTAGAAACCATGCAGGTTTCGGAAATGGACGGGGGTGCATCAAATAACAATGAATAACTCTTCAACATATTTTAAAACATAAGCATACTTACAGGCAACTGTATTTCTTCACCTGAAGGTGAAATTCACCTCTGTCAGCCAATAGGTATCATGGCAGCATCTGACTGCGAAGCAAGTATCAAATAAGTATGTAATGCTAATGAAAACTCTGCTCGAACTCATGTAGCTATGTAATGGTTTATGGGGTGTTGTCACAGTAAGTAAAGACAGTCAGTGGTGTCCACCAAGGGTACTCACTGTTACCACTTCTGTTCAACTTAGTTAAGGACATGTCAATGGACATAATTCAATTACCTTCGACTTAACAGATAATGAATTCTGTCATAAAAGAACCCAGTTAACGTGAAATACGCAGACGACATAGCTTCATTCAACGAAACTGCAGTTTTCTGAACGCGTTGAGCAGAAATCTGAGTAGGTTTGGCATGCGTTTCGCACTTGTCAAATATACAAAGATACTTCCAATACTGGTATGCAACTACTCCCAGTCTAAGGATATGCGTTGAGCATTTCACTTACTTGAGTTGCACCAGACCGAAAGGCCTAGTTGACAATGAAACCTCAACTTGGATACAAAAGGCCCGTTCGGCATCTACTAAATAAAGTTATCTCTGTTGCAGGCGATACATCTGACTACCTTTTGAAGAGTGAGTGTACTGTGCAGTGATTATGTACTGCTGTAAGACACATTCTCTGAAAGTATTCATGAAAAGATGAGAGATTTTTTATCATGGATGTTTTTATAGCAAGGCTCACGTATGACAGAATCACGGCGTCAGCAGTGTAGAGGGTAGGCGTATGGTATTAGGCACGGAAGGCAAGTCAATCGAGGAGGTTCTAGAACTCCAGCGACTGGGGTAGCTTGGAAATGTGTTGCATATGCTGAGGCACCAGTTAGCTCGATATGCAATCTCAAGTGAAATAGCATTGGGTTAGAAAAAGACTGTGAGGTCAGACCCAGACATCGCACAAGTACATGAAATCCCTGCCTGTTGGTTTGAGTCATATAAGGGAGGGTAGGCTTCCTGACTGTCTTGAAAAACATCGGAATCTATAGTTGGAGATCTGGTGATATAGCACAAAACCGACCATAATGGTGCAGATGTATACATTTTCTCATATTCCAAGTCCTGGACATTTTGTTAACCTTCACTTATTTTTCCTCTCCCATTTCTTACACACTTATCTACATTAATGTTACTTCTCCCATATATGCTGTTGTGAAGTGTGCCAACCTGAACCGATGTACTTTGATGTGCATCTGTAGGAACTTAAAGCTATGCACTTACTCAATAAAAACCGAGCTTACACACTCTTGCTCTAAGCAGTAAACTAAACCTGCTTTTGAGAGCTAATTGTACTACTTGGTTCCTAAATATATAGTACTCCCTATAAAATGTTAGTGAGTGAAATGGTTACTCACTTTTATTTTGCCGAATGCAGTCAGTTGCATTTCCTTCCAGATCACGAGCTACGATAATAATTCGCATGTGCTTCAATTTAAGGTGCTTGACAACTTCATGAAAACCGCACACAAAACGTTTCGCACGTTTACGATAAAAAGGATTATTAGCGTATATTACATAAGCTCTGTCTTGAAATATGGCCAGTTGAGTAATCAATTCCGTTATGAGATCTTTCTGCATCGTCGACGGGGGTTTGGAACAATTTGCGACAGTTTTACGTACATCCAAAGTATTGAGCTACAAAAATAATACTTTTTTAGCAATGCAACGTACCTTTGCTTGACCCAGTTCACTGGTAGATACAACGGTTTCCAGATGATCCAAAGTAATTTTTGTAGCTGGAAGTGATTGACTTCGTAGTTCACTGCGAACAGCACGTTCACTTAAAATACATCGTTTTAGACGAGAAGGACGCTTAGTTTTAGGCACCGTACGCTGTTTACCAAACTTCGTAATATTTTCTGTAGAAAGTGCCTTCGAACATCTTAAATGAGTTGAATCTTTAGAATCACGATTATCAGTAGTTATGAAGTCTTCCAAACCTCTTACAAACGGGGAATCAAATTTTGTTACATTGGATTCCGAAGATGCTAAATTTTTGTTTGAAATTTTCTTTGCCTTTTTACTAAAACCTTGAGGATTGTTGCGGTTACTTGTATCGTTAACATATGAAACTCTTTTAGACTGAGTGTTTGCTGGGTTTCTTGAATAGTTTTGTGAGGACTTGTATTGCTTAGATGTCTCACTAACAAATTTTCCAGGGTTGGTTAACTTGGCTTCTTTTGAGTGCCCAGCAGTTCCAAATGGTTTTCCAATCAAAACAGTATTTTCAACAGACGAAATTTGAGAAGACGAAGGCAACTGTGTTAAACCATCATTTAGATTCGCAGGAAAATAAGACCGGGCATTTGAAGTGCTTTGGAATTTATGAAGGACTTTAGTAGGTACTGAATAAATTGGTTGTATCGGGATTCCCCCTTTTGAAGTTTTCGACATACAAAACCGATCCCACTTCACTTGACGATATTTCTTTTTTATGGCTTAGGATCAACAACAGTAAGATGCAAAATAAAAATCCAATTTTGAAGTGACTTCGCTACGCTGTACTTCATACTAAAAAACACAATATGTACTGGGAATGTTTGCAGGAATAATAAACTAGTGAAATACAAGAGTTTATATTTTGAAGGTATTTTCAGTTTATTTTGTGCATCACATTACTTTTAAAAATAGATAAATAGAACGAAAACAAAGTGACTGAGTTTCTCTTTTACGCACCACAAAATATCAGGTCCTGATGATGAGCATGTAAGACGTGTCAGTTCTCAATACACCAGCAGTACTAGATACCTGATTTCTTATCAACTATATTCCACACTGTTTCTTAAACCATCATCTATTATTAACCATGCTACATCTTAATCAAGTTCTTAACAGATTTATTCAAGCTTCCAAAAAAGTAGATGGTCCACAAAAAGGCAAAAAAGTAGTTTTATGACATTCAAGAAAATTGACTTGATTAACATTCTTTTTACAAATGTAACTCAATAACCAAGTGAAGTTTAATGTACTAGACTGCATATTTGACACGTAGTGTGAGGGTTGATAACATTATTCCCCTTGTTAGAACCATGGCAGATAAAGTTGGATTAAAGCATGCTGCAAATGTATCCATTTACTTGCGATAACCTGCACAGGCCTTGTTCTCTGAAAAAACGACTTCCACAAGGAGACGAAACATCAGGAATTTATTTTTTTGCCTCACAGGAATCTCACAAATATTATTTCCTTTCTAATACATGATTCATTAGTTGGAGGCTGCCTCGTTAATTTAGTGCACCATTACCATTTGACTCTTAAATTTACTTAACGAACAGTAAACCTGAATGAAATGCGCAGATTTTGGTTGATCTCATGTGTATCAGTCAGAACCTTGGCTTTCTCGAAAATCCAGAATGAAGAAACCTGCCAAGCATATTTCCTAAATTTGAATCGGCAGTTGAATCCATCGATCAAAAGGCTTTGTCACATTTTCTCTTACAAAACGAGTGCCAGAAATACAACCTTAGACACAGCCCTACCCACTTGTCGCTGCACAAGCATACAGCAATTTATCATTCAAAGCGAAAAGAGCTAGAAAGAGAAAGGAAAACATAACATTAAACTTGTATGTTTCTGGATAGTAATGTCTTGGAAATGAATGCTTACAAGACATATATAGGGATGGATGATTGTACCACAAACACCTCAACACGTTAACTGCACTAATACCTGCAGTCTGCATAATTAAATGTCAGTCAGACTTTCAATCAGAGAAGAAAGATCTGACGGTTGCTGTGACAGAAACACAGCTCAGAAGAGACATAGATTATACCCATCTTTCTGCGTACCACACCGGGGCTGACAAGATAGTAGTGAGGGTGCTCTACTGTATACCAGCAAGAACCCAAATATACGGTCAACTTAAACAGAAGCACATGACAATGGTACAAGCGAATTATTAGGCTGACGTTAAGTCAGTTGATGGTGTAGTCAAAATCGAGGTTATCTACTGGAGTCTGTCGCACAGCAAATTACACCGAACTGAATTATTTATGTGAGTGACTTGACAGTAGCAGACATCTGATAATAGGTGACCTAATCACAACACACAACTGGGCTGGGTTCACATCGTCAGATTCAACCAACTGCTTTGATAGCGACCGACTTTTCTCAGTCCTGTAGAGCAACTAGGTTAAAAACTTCATGAGTGCAATGCGTTTTGATTCAGAGCACAAACCACAGTTCCTGGAAAGGAAACTGGCCTCTGGCACCAACCTATATTATAGTGGCCACTTAGTAATACCTTTTAAGTTTCGCACGTATGCATTGGACCACGATTCCATTCCCCTGCATGGAATGTATGGCAATCTGACGCACCAAATAACATAGTGTATAATTATACCAAACTGGTTCGTGGATCGTAGCACATTTATAGAGGAAGGTTCGAAAAAATTTAGACCTACATTTGACTGGGGGACTCTACCGTTCATGCCATGTTTAACTTTTCGTAGGCATTCTCACCACCCACTATGGGTTAATAACAGTATCTTGAGACTTTTAAGGAGTAGGTGACTATGGAACTTTTTTTGAATACAGGTAGTGAATCTTTTGAGAATGCGTATTTGCAAGGTTAGGAGCATATGAGTATGCGGTAGAACAGCGTACGACACGTAAATTGTGATTGACTGCCAGATCTATCAAAACGTAATGATGGGGTCCCGTCTTTTTAACCAGCCACCGATTCGAAAAAGTTGGTGGTGTAACCTGTTTTAAGCTGAATGTCTACTTGACTACTTTAATGCAGTTTTCTTATTAGGTAGGGATGCTATCACTCCAAACAGCATTACTGAAAATGCCTCATCAACGGGTCCGGTACACACCATAAGATGGGTTGTCATTTGGCTAGTGAACACAACCTTAAACCTGGGAAGTCCTCTGGTCTTAAAGGTTTGCATCGAAGGCTATTACCGTTCTTGGCAGAAATCTTCAGTCCATTCCCTCTTTTGATCTGTGTCAAGGAACTTTCAGATATGATAAAGTACCCGTGTTATTATTTGCCGATGTGAAAACATGGGAGGTTATTCGTAATGAGGTAGATAGATATGCATTACGGGTGGACTTAAATGAACTAGTCAAGTTGTCCAAGGAATAGTACCTAGAAATTGATTTTATCGGAAAAGCAGTTATGCATACTATTCACAGCAGCTGTCATTAGTAGCTAAATAAACGGGACACTTGATATCCAAAAAATTACACTTGGGAGTTATTGTCAACCACTACTCGAGAGGTTCGCAAAAGAGATTTGAATACTCTGGCCTATTCGGAGAACATTCAAATCCTCACATTAGGACACGCTTCGTACAATATGTCCCACGTCTGACCAACGTTATCTCAAACGTTGCATTCGAACGGCCAATCTTAGGCTCACATGTGCCAAAACACTGCAGTGTGCTCAGAGACTTAGTGCTAAGTTAGTGGCTGCTGTACTTAACGTCTTTTGAAAACCGCCTACAGCAACCAAATATTTCCATAATGCTTTATCTTGGGAGGAGGGAGGCAAATACCAGCATTCCATTAGCTTAACAACTAACCTAAGTTGATCTCAAATCAGATGGATGTCTTATATTCCCCCTCCCCCCATCAAGGATCGCTTATCTTCGAGAACATCAAAGAGAAATTCAAAAATCACGTTCGAATCGACTGAACGCGAGCTGATGCCTTACTCAGGAGGCATTTTTAACCACTACAGTGACTGAAGAAGCGAACTGTTTACCTGAGTAGATTATATCAGCCCCTTCAAAGAATGCATTTGAATACACACTAGATCTGTACAGAGAAATTTAATTCAAGAGGTAGCACACGTCAAACCAGTCTACTACTATTGTCACTGAACACTGAAATTGGGCGAACATACCGTAGCCTCAGTTTTGCAACAGCCGCTCCAAGAAACTGACCACTTACGAGAAAGTTAAGTGAACTACATAATCATACCATACATGCCTTCATGAATTCGAATATTACTTAATTCTTTGCATCACAACTGATGTCATGATTAGAGACCCCTCCTCCTGAGTTGTATGTGGGCTGCTGTAGGAGAGTAGATGTTTTATCTTCATAATAATCACGTCGTTATGGTTCCTACATCTAATCCAGAACCTGTGAAGAACAACTATAACTTGCAAAAGACAACCAATGAAGATCTACTGCTGTGGTTTATTAGCTCTAGGAACTGAGATATGTTTGAAGTAGCTGTCAAGGAAAACGTCAATTTCAAGTTTGCTGTATTACAGTATGACTAAAGTTGCGACTTGAAACCGCGAAACGTTTTTTCGCTTCAGCGGGTGTAGGAAACAGATGCTCTATAAGCGTTAAAGCAAGAAATGCACAACCAGTATTGAAAATCTACTCCAAGTAGATGTCTCTAAATAGAAGATCGTTTGCAAATATAATAAAAATGCACCCTCGGAAAAATCAACCCGGAAAATGAGTTTCGTGAGATATGGTAATCGCAGTTATTCCCGTTATGGAGCGTATGAACAAATAAGTAGAACGAATAAGGGCCTAATGGACAAATAGGGAGAAAAGGATGACAAATTTCAGAGCTCGAGCAAACACCCACCCATGATTAGGGGGAAGCGTTTGGGAAAAGGGTGAATAACTATGCACACTAGACATCTGGGTGCACCGCAATGAAGCACGACATTTTGACGTTATTAAAGACACCCTTGAAGAATTTTTAGAGAGCCGAAAGCTACTACTGTTGTTGACCCGCCAGGTAGAGTCTTAGGGCCCCTATGAGCCCACTGAGAGGGAGGGAGCTGCAGCGGCAAATGAGTCCCTGAAACGAAGAGCCTAGATCTCCACGAGTTTGATCGTTGGTCCTTACTATCACGCTGGCTTCGAAGAACAACGTTGGCTGCTTGCATCTCTCCCTATTTTGTTATTTCTGCACATTAGGGAAGTCCCGCTCATGACATTCAGTTAATCGAGACCAAACTTTTGCAACACTCCTATTGTTGCACATAATCGACCGTTGAATATTCGTTGACATACTTCTCTACAGAAGAAAACCTGCATTATTAACTCCTCAAACCAGCCTGCCTACCCCCTGTCAGTGGTTCTAGGTTAGTCCAACTGCCTTGTCTTCTGGTCCCTTTCGGGGTTCGTTCCCGGAAAGCATCCTCCCGTGTTCTGCATGCTTATCCGGGACTCACGCTTAAACTCGTTGGCCAAGTGCGAGGAACCGTTGACAAGTGTCTGATGGTAAGCCAACATAAACCGTTTCCCTTTAAACATTCTGTCCCTCCACTGCACTCTGTCTTTGACGTCTGTACCACTGTTATATACTCATTTTCTTAAGAAACTTACACAGTGTTGTCATAGCAGTCCAAAACGGTAGATCTGAAGCGTTGACGAGGGCAACGCGAGAGGAGGACGACAGAAGGGACAACGAC